AAAAACATCCTTTTATATGAATTTTCACAAATTGAAAAGTTTGGGCAACAGCATTTTAGGGAGAATGTTCCGTCTCAATCTGATGATTTATTTGCAATTATATACACTTCAGGAACGACAGGCTTATCTAAAGGTGTAATGCTAAGTCATAATAATCTTTTGGTAGCACTGTGTTCGGTTTACTACGAAACTGAAGAACCACCAGGATCCCGAATAATTTTTTATTTACCTTTGACTCATATTTGTGGTATCTTGATTGAAGGCTTTGCAATAGGAGTTGGTTGTTCAATTGGTTACTTCAGTGGTGACTAAAACAGATTGCTCGAAGATGTTCAAGTTTTACAACCTATATCATTTCCTAGAATATTTAATAAATTATATTTAAGTATGAGAGTCGCTACAATCAACGCGTCTGGTGAGAAGGGTGAGATGCTAAGACGTGCGTATCATAAGAAGTTAGCGCATTTTAAAAAAAAACTGGAGAATTGAAATACGAGGAATGAGACAAATTGTCAAAGAAGATTGGCGAGATTCTTGGCATAAATGTAAGTTCTTTGTTTTGTGGCGTGGCGCCATTGAGTGAAGACGTTATTGAATTTTTAAGAGTCACATTCGGGGTTGATTTTGCTCAGGGTATGCAATATAAATGATATATATTACTTTTTAAAATATGATTAACTAATTAATTATTGATTCTTGTTTATTTATTTATTTTATTTTTATACTATAATCATGGTGTGATTGGCATTTTTTAATTATTCTCGTTATTACTAATCCTATTTTAACTAATAATCCGAAAAAAAATAATAAAAAAAGTCTTGAAATCAAGCTTGTATATGTCCCATCCTTGAATTATTACAGCACTGATAAACCAAATCCAAGAGGCGAAATTTGTCTAAGGGGTGCTTCTATTATGAGGGCTATTTTAAGGATGAAAAAAAACAAAAGAAACTATTGACAAGGTTGGTAATTCAAACATGTGTAATTTATTTTTGTAAATTTTAAATTAATCTGAATATCACCGTAGGAGGGATGGTTTCATACTGGAGATGTGGGAGAATTGATGACCGTGGCTGTCTAAAAATTATCGATAAAGTTAAAAATATATTTAAGCTAGCTTCAGGTGAATAGATTGCCCCTGAAAAAGTTAGCAATCTTTTTTCTTTTTTTTTTTTTTTGTTTTTTAATAATACTAATCCCCGAAATTCCTTTTTAATAAGATTAAAACCGTCTATATTAAAAACTCGCCAATATCTCAAATCTTCGTTTTTGGTGATGATCGTCAATCTTTAGTTGCGATCGTTATTCCAGACAAATTTTATTCCTTGGGCAAATCAAATTTTTAGAGTTCTGGATTATGAAACACTAGTGAAAAATGATGTCGTTGTTAACGAATTGTTGCAACGTTTAAATATTTATGGAAAAAATAACGGACTTAAAGGGTTGGTTTTATTTTATTGTTATAGCTTGTATGTTATGTTAATTATTGAGACATATATATATTTATTTTAGATTTGAACAAGTTAAAGCAGTGCACTTGGATAATATAGCTTTCTCTGTTGAAAATGGGCTATTAACCAATTTGCTAAATTTTGGTGATTACTACTTTTTAATTGACTAATTAGGATGTATAATTAGGCGTAATGTAAAAATTTCAGTGATCATAATTTATTTAAAAAAATCACTTAGAATTTCATTTATAAACCTACTTTTTTCATTTTAACAAAATTTTTTTGTAAAATTTGGGTTAGAAAGGATTTTCTAGTTATTGTTTTATTTGAGCTCTAATTTTATTAAAAAGCGTATTGGCAATAAAGAATAATTCTTTAAATTTCTTTTTTAATTTGTTTTTAAATTTGTTTAATTTAACTAAAAATAAACTTTACTATGATATATGTTTATATAATTTATAGAAAATTTTGCTTTAAATATTAAATAAAATCAAATTTTAGAATTAAGATTTAGAACTTTAAATTAAAATAAAGATTAGAATTTTTTATATACCTTAATTCGTAACTTTTTTGAGCAAATTTTGACTAAAAAATTATTAAAAATAAGTTTACATAATCTATTTTTTTTATACGTATTTAAAAAATTTTATTTGATAATATTTGAAAATAAGAATTATTTTATTTTTTAATCTGTATTTAAGGCAAATTTGGTTAGAAAATTTAAAATATTTAATAAATTTTTTTGTAACAATAAATTATACTAATTAAAAGCCTCTCTAATGCATAATTGTTCATAATTAAGAAAACCTGTGCTATCATTTGACAATAAATTTTTTAGTCAAATTTGTTTGGAATACAATACAGAACAATTTAAAAAATCAACAAATGTATATGATTGACAGACTTAAATTAACATTATTGTAATATTTTATTCTTTTACATTCTGTTGTTTTTTTAAAGTAAATACATGTATATTAATAAGAACCTAAATTCACATTA